TTTGTTAAGTAGTTTTTAAAAAAAAAAATCTAATTTATTAGGTAATTTTAAATTTTGTTTATAGATTTCTTTTGATATTTTCTTATTTTTTTGATTGTAAACTTTGTAAATATGGCTACCAAAAAGCAAATTGATAAATTATTGTCAAAGAAAAAGCAAGCAATCGACTCCATGGTTAGAATAAGTCGTTATATTTCCGATCACAAATCTGATCCTGACAGTGAGTATAAAACCGACCAATTTTTAGTTCGGAAGGAAATATTGCAGGACAGTTTTCAAAAGCTTAAAGACATTCAAGTTGAAATTCTGTGCCTTGATGGTAACTATGATGATTCAATTGATGATGTAGAAACTCTTTTTTATGATGTCATTGTAAGTATTAAAAATTGTTTACCTAAACCTCAATTATTGGCTCATAAATGGAATAAGATTAATTAAAAAAGAGCTACACAAATGTGTGATTTGCTTTAAATTCAAAGCAAAATGTTCCACTCAATTAATGGGTTCCTTGCCGGAAAAAAGAGTCTGTTCAGCCAGAGTGTTTCAAAATGTCGGGGTAGATTTTTGCGGTCCCTTCCTCGTTAAGCAATCTCGAATTAGAAAATCCGTAAGTTCCAAGGCATACATAGCACTTTTTGTGTGCTTTTCAGTCAAAGCAATTCATATGGAACTGCTTTCAGACCTGACAACCGAAAATTTTCTAGCTGCTCTGAAGCGTTTTATTTCGCGGAGGGGGAAGCCCGCAAATATTTTCTGCGACAATGGTTCCACGTTTAAAGGAGCCGAGAATAAAATCAAAGAGTTTTATAACGAAACAGAAAAAATTGAAAATTATTCCCTTCAGGAAAAAATTACATTTAATTTTATACCGAGCTATTCTCCAGTTTTTGGTGGTTTATGGGAAGCTGGAGTAAAATCGGCAAAATTTCACATCAAGCGAGTCATAGGTAGCAATGAGCTTACCTATGAACAATTTAATACTCTTATTGTCCAAGTAGAAGGAATTTTAAATTCCCGACCACTTGTAGCCTTGTCACAAGATCCTTCAGATTTGGACTATTTGACCCCTGGTCATTTTTTGATAGGTGCGCCTATCACAAGCTTTCCTGACCCTGATTTGACGGAAATTCCCCAAGGTCGACTTAAGTTTTGGAAATTGTGTGTCCAGATGCAGCAGCATTTTTGGAAAAAGTGGTATCACGACTATCTAACGCAACTCCAAAATAGGCCAAAATGGCGTGATGAGATGCCTAACCTTAGGGAGGGCTTGTTAGTCATTTTAAAAGAGGATAATGTACCTTCTTATAAGTGGCCAATGGCAAGAATAGTTAAAGCAATACCTGGAAAGGACGGCAAAGTAAGGGTTGTCGAAGTGAAAACCAAAAAAGGTATTTATCTCAGATCGGTTACCAAGATTGCAGTGTTACCGATTGATGACAATAATTGTTAATAATATTTTTGAAAATTATTCACAAAATTCTGTACATATATTTGTAAAACATTTAGATTTATATTTATATTCAATTAGCTATACTCGTATATACATACATAATGTCATACTATGTGTTCCAGAAATGTTTTTTAGCTTTAATTGTTAGTTAAGTTTTCGTTTACTGGATCATCATTGAAATCATACCTTTTTTTAAAAAAAAGGGTTGCTTACTTTCTCTTTAATTTTTTTATTTTTTTTGCTGGAAAATTTTACCTTGGTTTCATGTGAAACTCTAGGCCCCCCAGCATGTTGGAAACATGTTCCAACAATCATGCTATCTCTTTTTGATGGCAAAATATTTTTATACATACATACAAGTTTGCAACACTGCAGCGTTGTCGTCATGTCTATTTTGTCATGTCTGTCAATATATTGCGCGCCATTTTTGTCATTGCAGCAGTGTAGCTTGGAGCTTGTCCACGTTAACAAGCATCCAGAAACCTTTTCACATTTTAATAAATTTTATAATCTAGCTCTGCCCTGTTGGGCATCTAAGCAAGCTCTGGCTTCTTGTCATCTTGTAGTAGTAATTGTAAATAGTGTAAATATTGTGTAAATTGTTGTAAATATAGTGTCAGTGAAAAGCGCGTGTGTTTTAGTTCCCTATCCAGTCGATCATTCAGTCCACCTAATTATACAGTCCACTAATTATCAAGTTATTTATCTTCCATTATGTGGTTTTGCACACTGACCATAAACCTCTTATAAGCATTATCAAAAAACCTATTAATTCCTGCCCTCCTAGACTTCAAAGAATCATGGTGCAGTTGCGTAAATACGATTTTGACCTGGTTTATAAACCTGGGAAAAAATTAGTGCTTGCAGACGCCCTTTCCAGAGCCTATGAGAATAAAAAATTTGACGAAAACATAGACCTGGAGATGGAGTCGCAGGTGTGTCTTATTGAAATGAATCTAAACACTACCAAAGAAAAAAGAGAGGAAATATTAAGGGAGACTGAGAAAGATGGCGTTTTACAACTGTTGAAAACACAAATACTAAAAGGGTGGCCTAATAAAATTGATAGAGTGCCTGAAAACATTAAAATTTTCTATAAATTTAAACATGAGATCACAGAAAGCAAGGGTTTGCTGTATAGAGACACAAGGTTGATTGTTCCATACACCTTGCGAAGAGAAATCTTGAATAAATTACATAGCAACAGTCACCAGGGTATCAAAAGAACTACTGAAAGGGCAAATCTATCCTTTTACTGGCCAGGAATGAACAGGCAAATTCAGGACATGGTTTTGGCTTGCAACACCTGTATAACTTTTTCAAACTCTCAACAGCCAGAGCCCATGATTCCTCATGAAGTTGAAAAGCTGCCTTGGGCAAAGATAGCATGTGATTTGTATCATTTATCAGGTCAGGTTTATCTAATTTTGGTAGACTATTATAGCAAGTTTTTCGAGGTAATTAACCTAAGGCGTGATCTAACGGCCGAAAATGTAATAAGAAATCTTAAATCAGTTTTTTCCAGGCAGGGTATACCAAAAACAGTCATGTCAGACAACGGTCCAGAATTTTCAAACCATAAATTCAGAGAGTTTTCCATCCAATGGGAGTTTAAACACATAGTATCCTCTCCACGTTACCCACAGAGCAACGGACAAGTGGAAAGGTATGTTCAAATAATTAAAAAAAACGTTGAAAAAAGCAACTTTCGACAATCAAGATCCTTATCTTGCTCTTTTAAACCTAAGAAACACCCCAATAGATGGAAAGCACTCTCCTGCTATAATAATGTATAACAGACAGCTTAGAGATTTGTTGCCAAATGTCAATAGAAAGTTTATCAAGGAAAATTTTAACAGACAATTTTATAATAACTTTATTGATCAGTCTAAGCAAAAACAAAAACAGATTTACGACAAGCGAGCAAAACCACTATCAGTTTTGAAAAATAATTCTCGCGTTAAAGTTCAGGTCAAACCAGCTGACATCTGGACAGATGCTAGAGTCATAAAAAGAGTGGGGACACGGGCATACAAACTAAAGCTCGATAGTGGTTCGGTTCTCATTAGGAATAGAAAATTCATTAAAGATTGCAGTTTCCTTAATAATAAAAATAATACCCCACAGAAGCAAAAAGTTCCAGCGGTTTTTGAACAAAAAATAACAGAACAACAGTTCAGCAAAAATTATGTAAAAGTATGTGAAAGTGAGCAGACTGAGGAGCTTTTTGAGACTGAGGGCAGGACAGGGAATGACAGCAGTGTAGAAAGTAACCCTGATATTAATGACAAACCTGAAATAGGGAATAAAATTAGCGATAACTCCGACGATTATGTCGAGATTGAGTAAAATTTGCATCAACAATATTCTGACCAGACGGCTGTCGATGAAGACGCGTCCAACTTAAATAATTGTAAATATCTTTGTAAAAAAATTGACCAAGAGGGACCATCGAAAAACACTGGCCCTTCCACCAGAACTTCTCGTTCTGGAAGAACAGTAAAAACACCCTCTAAACTTTCAGATTTTGTTGTCTTACGAGATATTGATAGCCTCAGTAGGGCAAGTCAAAAAATTGTGATTTAACAATACAAATTGTTAAATTTTTTGGAAAACCTATTAATAGGGTGAAATTATACACTGGTGTACAGAGCTTCGAGGAGTTCGTAACACTTCTTTAATACATCTTCTCACACGAGATGAATGGGGATATTCAAGTTTAATGTAGTTCGTAAAGAAAAAACATGTATTAATTGTTCTCTACCTAAATGTAACTTTTACAAGAAAAAAAAAAAAAAAAAAAAAAAAAAAAACTTTTTGTTGGGAAAAAGGACAGGGCAGTAAAATAATAGTTAACTCTTCATAAAAATGTAAGAAGTTTTATTTAAAAACAATCATTGTAAATATCTGCAATTTGCATACAGATGCATAGAAGGATTAACTTTGAAAAGTAACATTGTATGGAGCGTTTGACTAGGTAACGAATATAACGATTATGTAATAAGTGAAGCGTCTATCGCACATTGTATTATAATAAGCATTTAATTTTAAGAAAAAGAATTGTACAAACAATTATGTGATTTGTTATAGATACTAGGGAGCTTTGAAATGTAAAATGTAATGCCTTTGTGAACCTTGTAAAAAGGGAGATGTCATGGCTTAACGCCATAGTCATGGCATGGCTTAACGTTTGGTGAATTGTGCACAACTTCACATCAGTCAAAATTGTCACACCATTGTCAGTTGTCAACTGAAACGAATAAAGCACTTGAAACCCACCCATGTTGTTGATCATTTCGTGTCCTCCCAAATATCAGAATTTCAGAGACAAAACATCAATAAAACAGTATGCAGTGAACGGAGATTCCTGCCCGAAACTCTCAAACCCTTTGTGACCCATAATTTTTTGGTTTTTGTTTTGATATTTTTTAGGGGAAAACTTTTATTCAAAATATTGACCACATTCTCCTGAAATATTTCGACTGGCTTGCTAGAATTCTTGATGTTGTCCCAATTATAATAATAATCAGTTTGTTTTGAATTGGCTTACCTCTAGTGTGTTCATTACCATCCATTATATGCTTTTGCAAATCAAGTAATATTTTATAGGTCAGTAACTCGTAATAAGAAATAATTAGGAGGATACTTCCTGAAATTAACGCAAGTGGGATCACTTTTTTCCATGAACCGCTTAGGATGGTTACATACATTTTCAAATCTAAAAAAAAAAAGCATGGGGTGATAATTGAAATAGGAAATAAATAAAATCTTTGAAGAACATAATTTGTAAGTTTGTCAACCCTTCAAAATTTGAGTCAATAATAAACCATTGCATGCAGATAGGTAATTTACCAACAAAATTACTACACATTTTCATTTATATTGACTCTATCCACTATCGTACCACGATATTGTAATTCTTCTCCCAAATTAAGCAATAAAAATTCATACAAACTTACCTATAGATTAAATTTAAAAATAAAAATTTCAAACAATGCTAAATATAATATTTCGACGTTAAAAATCTGTAATATGTTGCCGCGTTATTCACCTAATGAACTAATCAATCTATTAAATATTATGCTCCTAATTAAAATTTGAGTTAAATAATAGTAATTATAAAAGAAAAAATCTTAGATTCTCCCTATGTTTGCTTGGATCACTATTATTTCGAACGTATGTATCAATATTTGTTATGTGGTTTTGTCTCTAATTGATAAGGGTTTGAAAATGGGTCAAATCCGTTTTGGCTAAGTTTTTTCTTCAAAAATGGAACTAAAATCAAAAAGTAAGATCCTTATCAACTAGGTATTCATTGTTAGGGGTTTATATTATATTTATGTTTCCACGCATGAATAGCCTATTAACTTAATCCAAAAACTTATAGTTACTTATAGTAGGTAGGTACCTACTTAACTCAGTATAATTATGGATTTTCCATATCTCAACTAAATTATATTTCTTTAACAAACTAAATAGTCCCCAGTACATCGACCTTTGGATTTTGTAACTAAGGTTAAGGTACACGTCAAACTTCCTGGGCCGGTATTTTCGCTCTCGAAAACGCTCGCCGCTTTTTAGTCGCTAATAGTCCAGGAGGTGGCGCCAAAAACATGCAAGAGTTTTCGCAAGGCTGATATTTTCAAAATAGGTCGTACTTTAGTGCTAGAATGCTAGTGTACAGTCAGCACTCACAGTTCCGGGACAGCTGGCTCTGGGACGCGGGCAAAGTTGTAATTTTAAGAAGTATCTAAACTGTTTTCTCAAAGCTCAAAATTTATAGAAATTTTGAACATTATCTGTTTGAAGGTCACAGATAACGTATGTAAATCGTCAGACGTCTAGTTCGTTGCAAAAAGGGGGTCAGACGTCTTCAAAGTTTTTATTTTATGGCATTTTCTTCAAATATATTTGTCAAATACCTGCAAAAATATATTTTGACAGGACACCGAAGAAAATGCCATAAAATAAAAACTTTGAGGACGTCTGACCCCCTTTTTGCAACGAACTAGACGTCTGAGGATTTACATACGTTATCTGTGACCTTCAAACAGATAATGTGCAAAATTTCTATACATTTTGAGCTTTGAGAAAACAGTTTAGATGCTTCTTAAAATTACAACTTTGCCCGCGTCCCAGAGCCAGCTGTCCCGGAACTGTGAGTGCTGACTGTACACTAGCATTCTAGCACTAAAGTATGACCTATTTTGAAAATAGCCGCCTTGCGAAAACTCTTGCATGTTTTTGACGCCAGCTCCCCAACTATAACGGGTAATAGTTGTAGTCGAGCAGTAAAGAAGATACAACACTTGATGTCATCTATCATGATAGGGAAGTTCCTTTGAAGCCATATACCTAGGTATTGGAAGCTTGGCCAGCAGTACTCCATGATCCACAGAATCAAATGCTTTGGTCAGATAACAAAACAACCTCTCCATCATTTTAGTAGAAAAATTAAAACATGATGCGGCGCGAACGTTCACTAGTTTTTCAAAAACTATTTGGCTAAAGTTGGGAGAAGGAAAATCGGTCTAAAATTTGAAGGCGAGTCTTTGTCACCCACCTTTCAAATGGAGGATTAACTCTGGCAAATTTAAAAGGGAAGAAGGTAGACTACCTGTTTATAAAGGACTTTATCGTATCTGCAAGCATATGTTCCATCAAGAAGTTTTTAAAGACTTTTCAAAGAAATTTAGTTATTTTTGTAACAAGTAGGTACCTACCTAAAATAAGGTTTTTAAGAACGAATATTTGTTGTTTCCGGACGAGGCGGTAGGCGACAACCACATAGGTGAAATAAGGTTTTTTACACGCAAAATATGTGTGAAAAAAATAAATAAAAATTAGACAAATACTTTACACACTAGTACGTGATGTATCAATGTATTATCAGTATTATCACTTTACGCACTAGTACGTGAAGTAATTTACTAGAAAAAAACTAAATTGACAGTGTCGACATCTGTAATTGACATTACTGTAAAGTAATTCACTTAACACACTAGTGCATGAAGTGAAATTTTACGTCTTCTGAATAGTCGGTAAAGTGAGTACTTTATCAGTCATATCCTTTTTTTAGATCCTCAATTAGTAAATGAATTTCTGGGACATATACGGTAGTTTCTTTTCTGGGTCAAACCAAGTATGTGATCTATTGTTGCCAAAATCTTTACTAGCGGTTTGAAACAGTCAATGGAAACACCATTGCCCGTTTCAAACCTGTTTTGAACCAATGTGAAAAAAGTGAACGCGAGTAAAAGGCTTATATTTTTTTTTAGTGTTTCAATTCGGATTGAAAATACTATACCTATATACCCTTCCACAACCACACTAATAACCAGGCACTGACAAAACACAAAACAATTAATTCAATTGTAAATTATTGTGATTCGAATATTTTTTCGAACTTCTTCCGGCACTTGATTTTGCACGACTTGACTTGCACGAGCCGACACTTGACAGCATCAGGAGCTTCCTTAACGTTTGGCGTTTGCTACTAAATTGGAAGTAAATGAATACGAAACACATAATTATGGCTTATTTTTGGTATTTTAGTTAGGTTACTTCGCTAGGGTAGCAAAAAACACACACAAACTGTAAGAAATAAAATTGGAGTGAACTCAAATAAATATTTAATCTATATGATCTGAACAAATATCTATTTGAATATGTCAGCTCACTTTTATTTATTTATTTATCTATTTACTCTTCACAAACACTGATTTCCAGTAATTACATGTAAAGGTACAACTAAGTAGCTTGATTTACAAAAAATAATAATAAACAATAATACAGATTCTTTACTAGCAAATACTAACAGTATGAAACTTAGCAATACACACAAATAAAAGAAAGGTATATGTCCTGATGCAACAAATCCAATATTTATTTACGGCTCGTGCTAAAAAAATCGAAAAATTTATTTTTTCCCAACATCTCATTACAATAGGCTAGGATATTAATTATTATTAATGGGCAATGACCAATGTACCTACTATTAACTGTAACACTAAAAATTTCTCTGATTAAAATTCTAAGTCTAATCTTTGGTATCTTGAAATTCATTTCCAACTGAATTAGATCAGATCACAATTTCGTGTATTTTGTTATTATTTAAAATACACGGTGTCCTTAGATAAACTGACACATTTTGCAGGTAAATATTTCGAACACGGGAAAAGATAACGAGATGCGGTTTGTTCTGAGAGAATAAAGATTTTTTAAAGTTTTTTTCACATCATTGCCGAATCCTAAAATTTGATGAAATTTGGTTTTACAGACATGCGATTTTTTGAAATAAAATGACTGCCTTATTTTTAATGAGACACCCTGTATTTTGTAATCGTCAGAAAGCCTGATTTTTCTACTTTACAAAAATGTATAATTTTTTTCAATTTGAACTTGCATCGTGAAAATTGCACTTTGTCGAACAGAAAACCATCGACTAACCAAAAAAAAATTGAGAATTAATTTGTGTTTAATACTTTTATTAACTACTTAATTTGCGCATAGTTAACTGATAATACAAGTATTAAACACAAATAAGTGCATATGAAACACAAATTACCTAATTATTATAACTTTTTTTTTGCCAGTCGATGGTACACTCTTCAACAAAGTGCAATTTTTACGATTGAATTTCATGATAATTGAAAAAAATTATACCTACATTTTTGTGAAGTAGAAAAGTCACGCTTTCTGACGATGACAAAATATACCGGGTGTTTCATCAAGAATAAGGCAGAGTATGTAATTATTATTGATTTACACGTAAAATCTGTTTTTGTTACTAAATTTTTGACTTGGGGAATTATCTTTAAAAAAAAAACAAACTTTATCAGTTTAGGACAATTTAACCTGTTCTCGAACGCACTCCTTGAGTGATTATAATTTATTTATTTTTATTTATTTATTTAAAACTCGTACAAACACTATAAATAGTAATTACATGTAGGAGTGCTTACTGGGTATGAGAGAGAAAAAACAACAAAATTAAAAATACTAACAACTTACACACTAAAAATAACATAATAATACTAAATACAGAACAAGGGCGGTTTAAAGGGGGGGTAGAGGGGGTAATTACCCCCCCCCCAGACAAAGATTTTTTTTACATTTATTAATTAAAACAAAATTTCAAGAAAGGACAAGTTATAATAATAATAATAATAATAATAATAATAATAATAATAATACTAAGTTCTACAAAGTAAAGGAATAAAAGGCATGGTATGAATATGATAGGCTCACCAGTACCGACTTACCTACCAAGGTTCTTAAAGTTCATAGGTTTTCTGGTGATGGGCAAGTTGATGACGCATCTGGGGTGCCTTATGCAGATTTGCATTATGTTGAGGCACTCCAGATGACGTCATGAAATTATCAGGCAACCTACCTCTATCAAACAACCTTGTGTACATACTAGTAAACGTCTGGTATTGTGTACAGTATTGCGAACACCCTGTAAAATGTTAACAGATTTTCATAGGACCATGAAGTAAATGTAAGTAGAGTCCGTCGTTTTTAAACTGACACTTTCCGTATGAGGAGCGAGGGGGTATTTCATATGGCAAAAACAGGTGTGACGTCAGTTAACCATTTGCGGTCTAATGTAGGGAGCCACCAGCTCAAATTCCGTTGGAGTATTAGATTAAAATCGACAGATATTATGCACTAACAACCTGCAAAAGCTTCAGCTTATAGGATCTCCAATGGATGAAATATGTTGGTTTTTGTTAACAAAAGTTGCGATTTTTTGAAAAAATATTAAATATTTCAAAAACGGTTAAGTTTTGGTATAGTTGATTCCTAACAAAAAGTACGTAGGATTTTTATAACGATAAAATGTACTAAAATATAGGGTGTTCCATTTAAAAATAACAAAGTTTTTTCGCATACCCCATTTACAGAGCACCCTGTATATTTAAAAATATTTTTAGGTAATACACCTTAGGCCCAGTTGTACAATCTTGGTTCAAAGCAGAGTTCAGCTAAACTTGACTGGTACTTGAACTTCCCCATTTGAAATGCATTGCTGTCAAAATTGATAGAATTTGATTAATAGCTGACAGCAATGTATTTTAAATGGGAAAGCTTAAGTACCAGTCGAGTTCAGTTGAACTTTGTTTTGAACCGAGATTGTACAACTGTGCCTTAGAGAATCAAACAACTTTGAATTTTTATTTTTTTTTTCTTGCATCACCTTGTAAGAAGATATCGTCCGATATCGCACTAAGTGGACACCCTATATTCCTATTTTGACGGCATCGGGATACATTTTTGCCCGAACTGTGTTTTTTAAACGACTTTCGGGTGCAAATTTGGGCGTGGCTCGTGGCTCCGAAAAAAAAATTTGTACGTTGCGACACTTGATAATTTTCCCGTCATCCATTACCCCCCCAGAAAATCATGTATGGACCGCCACTGACACAGAATGACATAATCACAGACATAATTAGAACATATATATAGGTACGAACTATCCACCTTAAGTTAT